TCCTGTGCCAGACAATTTCTCAGCTCTTGTTCCATGACCTGCACAATTCCTCCTCCAGAAAGTCAAGAAGAAGAGCTAGCTATATTGGAACAGCCCCCACTGTGGCCTGGCTAGCAGTGGGAATTTACATCAAAATTTCCATCTAAAATTACACTCACATCTGTACCCAGGGCTAGGCTCACATAGGAGCTCCAATTTGTTATTGTGATGTAACTGAGATGCATTGGGTCTCTTTCTCCTCCTCCTCCCTGCTTCAGGACACACAGCTCCTAAAACCCTTGGACTCTGTAGAGTGATCTGCAAGTCTTTCATATGCTAGTAAAATGGTGGGGTTAGATAGGCTCTGGATGGGTCTGATCCCAACTAAGATAGAAGTAGAAAGTTTAAACTTTCAGTCCACTCCATTCTCCTAAGAGGTAAACGGGAATGAAGGGTGAGCTACCGGCCAATGGGAAACGTGCATAGACAGGAAGAGCTTCTAGATAGCTGAGAACATGGAGGTTCCTAGAATAAATATGCCCAGAAAGGAGATGAAAGGTGGCACCTTTTCCATGACATCAACCTTGCCCTGTGCAACTATCTCTTCCAAGGGTTGTCCTCAGTAATAGCCTTTATAATAAAGAAGTAAACTAAAATCTTTCCTTGAGTTCTGTGAGCTGTCTTAGCAAATTAATCAAATCCAAGGAAGGAATGGTGTAAGCCCTGACTGATAGCCAGTTGGTCAGAAGCATGGGCCATCCCTTGGGACTGGTATCTGAAGTGGGGACAGTCTCATAGGACTGAGCCTTCCACCTGTGGGAACTGACACCATTTCTGTGTAGATATATCACAAATAAATTGAGTTGTAGGATATTCAGCTGGTACATGGAAATAATACCTAGACATTTGATGAGGTATTCTGTGCTATGTTGTATGTGACAGCCTTTAGGCCAACTTGGTGTTTTTTCCCAATCTTAAAAATACTCTTAACATATTCATTTTTCAACTTTCTCACAACTGTAGGTCTGAGCACTTGAGCCAAGAGCAGGCCTGTGAAATTCATTAGAGCTGCTTGCTTTTACAGTCTCCAAACTGCTGGAGTCAAGGAGTTTAGACTTCTAGCTATCCCAACAAGGGCCTAAAAATAGAGACCCTGCTGTGTGGCTGGCACTGTCTGCTCATGACCTCCAGAAGGGCATGTTCACTAGGGGAACTATCCTACCCCTGGGAGGAGAAGAACTCAACCACAGAGGACATCTCCTGTTTTTTCTTCATCACTAGCACAACACAGCACAACCTAGAAACCCTCTCCTCTCATTCTCCCCTGCAGGCACATTCCAAGGTCTGAGGCCTCCCAGATCAGAATGGCCCAAAGGCAGGCAGTACAGCCTTGCAGTGGAGACTGCTAGCCTCAGGCTGCTTGCACCGGTAGCAGCCTGACACAGTGCTCTGCAGGCCTGGTATGCTACGGCTACAGGGTGTTTTATAGCTTTAGGGTGTCCCATAGCTGCAGGGTATCCTATAGCTATCTGTGTGTCTCAAATAGCTGCAGCCAGTACTCCAATGACTCCTGCAGCTCATCTGGTTTCAAAGACTTTTTGATCATGTCAAATCAATACAGGGTGATACCATACTCTGTAATTCCAACATGTCTTCCAGAGCCTCAGGAAGGAAAAAGGCTGAGATCGCTGGCTATGGCCATTTTATAGAGATGAAATTCTAGATGAAACTGCTATTGACAGTAGATGAGATCTCCCCCCCCAGAGAAGTTTCTGTCAGTGAACCAGGACCAACACCTAAAGTTTGTCATTAGTATAAAATCAGAATGCACGAACAGTACTTAGCACAGCAGCTGGCATATAATAAAAGCATAAATGAGCTTGAAAACAGCAGCTGCATTTGTGACACTGGGAAGTTCTGATCCCCTAGGGCTTCCTCTGCCCCTTAATAACAGGGGAATCCCTGAAGTTGAGAGTAGAGGTCTCCTCTGCATCTGACCCTTAGCACTTAAGGTCCTGAACCCTCAGTGGTTCCCAAGGATAGCTGACTCCATGGGACCACCATCGGGCAAGCTGGGTCTCCTCCACTCCAAGAACTGGGCTCAGCAGTCAATGTCATTTCATAAGCTTGTTGCATTATTATGTTGCAGAGCAGTAACAATCATGGGCATAATTAAGTACATGTTGAGTTAACTTGCTTGTGATGGTTATTTGCTTGCAACATTCAACCACATAGATTCTAAGCTTAAGTGAATGTGACACAACAATTTCTCCCCCAAACCCTGAGAAATTCTGCAGAATTCACTGCCCCAAGAAGGCCCTGCCAGTGGTTGGCCATAGCCTTAGAGCACTCCTCTGCCCACTTAGGGGTGGTAGGACCACTCTAATGCAGGACTCTAGCCTCAAACGGATCTCCCAGGGCATGCTTTACTCACAGATCTCTTGAGAAGTTTAGCTCTATGGAAGTAGCACCCAAAAGTCATAGCACTTATGGGAAAAACAGAGCCCTACAGGGTTCTGGGGCATCATGGCATGGCTGTTACTTGAATCTGCCTATGTTCTCTGGACCTTCTTCCGGGTGTCTATCTAGCAGGGACCTGGCCCTCCTGCCAACCTTATGTCCTTCTGTGCTGGTCATCCTAGGTGGGTATTTCAAAAACTAAGATATCTCTCCTCACTCCACATAACTCCCCTATCTCTCTCTTTTTCTCCCTCTCCCTCCCCCCTGCCTCTCTCTCTCTCTCTCACACACACACACACATTCACACATCATATAGTACATGTGTGCATGCACACACACACACACACACACATTCACATATACACCTACTTAAACTCTTAAGAAGCAGCCCATGGTTTCAGATGGCTGGAAGGTTAGATCATAACCCCAAAGTCCCTGTCCTGAGGATTCTGCAGCAATGCTATCTCCTCACATGACTATTGGAAAGCCTCTTCCACCTCTACTTGAGGTCCTCCTCTTTTTAAATGAGTGGTTTTATTACTTATTACCCAACATGTAAGTCAGGCTCTGCCAACAGTGGCCTCTGATCAAAGGCTGCACCTTCCTGAAAAGCCTTTCCCCCAAGTGATGGAGTAGGTAGTAGGAGTGGGCAAAGTAACTTCGGGGCAAGGGTCCCGGAGGCACACAGCCTCTGCCCAGGCCTCCTCAGAGGGCTCCACAGGGCAGGAGGTGGACAGAGGGCCAAATGGAGTGTCACTGAGGACCATAGTCCTTTCTGCAGTCAAATTCCTCCACACCGGTAGGGCCATGATAAAAGGACAAGAAAGAATGAGAACAGTGGCTAAGGAGATAAGAGAGGAGACCAGGTGAGAAGTAACTAGGGATGAAAGAGCCAGGCATTCTTTTCTCCACCAGACCCTTAGCCGAGCAGTAGCCCAATCACCTGACTCTGGGCAGCCCTGGCCTTGTTAAAGCAGGCTGTGGGACTAGGGTTGCCATGGTCTGAATGTTTTTGTCCCTCAAATTCATATGATCATATTAGAAGGGGCTGGGGAAGCAACTTGTACTCTGGGATTGGGCGCTGTCCTTGTGCTCTTAAGCTCAAGGCGAGCGCTCTACCGCTTGAGCCACAGCGCCACTTCCAGTTTTCTAGCGGTTTATTGGAGATAAGAGTCTCACAAAGCCGAGCACTGGCGGCTCACGCCTGTAATCCTAGCTACTCAGGAGGCTGAGATCTGAGGATCGCGGTTCAAAGCCAGGCCGGGCAGGAAAGACCGTGAGACTCCTATCTCCAATAAACCACCAGAAAACCGGAAGTGGCGTTGTAGCTCAAGTGGTAGAGCCCTCACCTTGAGCTGAAGAGTTGAGGGACAGCACCCAGGCCCAGAGTTCAAGCCCCACGACCGACCAAAAAAAAAAAAAAGAGTCTCATGAACTTTCCTGCCCGGCTAGCCTTGAACCGCGATCCTCAGATCTCAGCCTCCTGAGTAGTTAGGATTACAGGCGTGAGCCACCGGCGCCTGGCTAATTACTTGTACCTTCATAAAAGGGATCCCAGAGAGTTTCCTTGCTCCTTTCCACCATGTGAAGACAAGGTGAGAAAGTACCCTCTGTGTACCAAGAAACAAGCTCTCATCAGACAAGGAATCTCTCTAGATGTCAGCCTCCAGAACTGTGAGAAACACATTTCTACTGCTTGTAAACACCCAGCAGCCTAAATGTACTAGAACAGAAGCCCTGCCCATGTTTTCTGGAGGGTAGGTCAAACTGAGTGGAATTTATGCAGGGAGCAGTTTGATCACAGAAAAGCAGCAATGTTGACCTCTGCTCTCAGCAGAAATCACAAGACCTTGCAGAGGCTGACATCACTGTGCAGCTGGGGAAATGGAGCCAGCTCCAGCTCCAGGGCCTCCTTCAGGCGTTTATACTAAGAGCTAAGAAAAGATGGAAGCTGAAGCTATGTGGGTACCTGGGATGGCTCAGGCCCCAGGTGGGCCCCACTGTACCTTGAGTGTACTTCTATTACCTTGTCTAGTTCAGGACACTGCCCAGGAAGGATAAGTGTCCCTCTTCCTATCCCTACACAGCCTGTCCAACTTCCGCCAAACAGTGGTAGAGGGGCTAGGAGAAAGTCTATTGGGGTTACTGTCAGGTTGCAGGTGAAATCCTTGAGTGACTCCAGCACACAACTCTAATTAAGAAAAGAATGTGTGGAGGAAAACTTTACATTCATTCTCTTATGTTAACGTCATAACAATTCTGTCATAACCAGACAGATTTTTTCAACTTTCAAGATAAAGAGACAGAAGCCTGGGCCAAGGATGGAGCCCTCACACACACCTCAAAACCTGGTGGTTTTGCCAAATATCAGCAGCCTAGGGCACTGGGCTACCTGTCACTTTCTCCAGGGTTTCAGGGTGATGATCTACAGTGGCCCTCAGCCTACCAGCATAGCTTCGCCTGTTTTGTAGTTTTTCAAGTTCTCCTATTGACCTGGTAAGGAATGAATGTGAGTATGAGGCAAAGAAGGAGGGAGAGAAAATGTGGCTCTGAGTCCTTACCTGTTCCGGTCTGAGTCCTGTAGGGAGCTTCCTGCGTCTAAGTCCATGTCCCCTGCTGATCGCTCTAGGGTCCAGAAAGAGAGATCAAGTAACATCAGAAACTGGGCTTTCAGCTGGCACTTAATGACCATCAAGTAAAGTGTGAGTGGCCATTTATTTTCCAGATAAATCCAACACCTTGCCTGTGTCTCTGAGAAGTGCAGGCATAGGCTGTTACGATAACTGAAATGGCCCCCAAGAGAAGAATGATGAATGAGTTCATGAAAGAAGGCTGTCTTTTGAGTTCGTCTAAACACTCACACCTCCCAGTACTGCCATTGTAGAACTCTGGCCCAGTGGGCCAGCATAATAGTAGGATGAAGAGAAGGGCTGTCTTCTGCTTGCCTGCCAGAGGGTGATGAGGGCCACAGAGGGAGAGAGTTCAGGGCAAGACTACAAACGCCATTCTGGAAAAGGCTACAAAAAAAAGCAAAGGGAAGAAGTCTTGGAGCCTCTTCCCCAAAGTACAAGGAGCCACCTCCCACTGATCTGGAGGGATTAGTGTCTTGATCAGGCAGGCCTGCCTGTGAAGAGAGTAAAAAAAAATTGCCAGTGCCAACAATAAAATGATACTCTGATTATTTTGGTGACAGCCAACTCTTTTCTTGCTCCCTACCATGAGTGCTTCCTTCCTTTCCCCTAGATCCTCTTCTGCCCAGCTGGACTATAGTTAGCCTCACCTGATAGAGTTCTGTCCAAGGATGGAGTCCAGGCTGGGGTTGCCACCTTGGAGAAACTCTGTCCAGAGACCTTGAGCATCTCCTGCAGCAGAAGACGGTTCTTCTCTACTTGGTCAGACAGGGACAAAGCATTATCCCCTGGGCCCAAAGCTCCCAGCTCTCCAGCTCTCCAGAGGGTCCCCCGTGGGACTGCCCTAGGGTTTAAGTCCTTCTCAGAGGTCAAACACATGCTATCCAGGTCTCTCCCTGTAGCCAGATGGTATTCAAGGCGATATGGCCTTTCTTTTGTCAGGCTGGGTACATGGGTGACTTTACAAGGACTAGACCCTTCTCGCTGACCTGGAGTAACTCTGTGGATGAGGCTGTCTTGCAAAGAGCTGGACCCTAGAAGCAGACTCCTCTCATGTTCACACAATATCCATGCTGCTTCTGGAGGCCACACGCTCTGCCCATTCCAGCACTTAAGCCCAGGGTCAAGTGACTTGGGAGGCCCAAGTCCCCCATTCCTGGAGGGTTGCTCTTCATTGACACAGCCGTCCAGCTGCCCATCAGTGAGGTTCTCAGCATGGGGGACCAGCACAGCATCTGGCAGGGGAGAGCCTTCTGGAGGGCTCTGGACTCCTTTGGTCTTGACTTGTCGGCATTTGGATGTCTTAGGGCTTTCACCCTGTTTACTCGCTGTCATCTCCTTCAAAGCCCTCACTTTAGACTGCAGCACAAAGGGCTTTTGTAGCTCCTGTGTTCTGGGGGGCTGAGGAGCCATCCAGTTGGGTGTTCTGGCTTCCTGAGGGCATGGCCAGGGTCTTGGGAGGGTTCTATTAGCCAGTTGTGGTACAGCGGATGTTACCTGCATGGGGCTGGCTGTTCTGTCCCAAGTCTTGGATTCTCTGGAAGACAAAACAGACAAAGTTCCTGAGACCCCAGCCCCTGCACTCAGGTGGCTCTAGCAACTTGCTTGGCTCCCAAAATACCTTGGTGTGGAACCATGCCCAGATGACCATAACCTGGAGACAGCAGTCTTCTAACATGAATGTAACTTAGAGAAGTCCTAATCATAGAGCAGTACAAATATGTTATTATTGAATTTATTCTTCTAAGTCTCAGTAGTGTTCTATCCTCCTATCTCTGCTTTATGGATAAACAAAATTATTTTCAAACATCAACCTGATGTCTGTGGGGACAAGAGTGAGAGTTAGGATGGTTCTCCAATCCCTGGCCTCTTCCTTTGCTGGCCACTGCTGGGAGGAGGATGTCAACATCTGCTAATGGCTACCATGCTGTCCCTTGTGGAGGAGGGACCTGAGGAAGGGATCAGGCCAATTCCGTCCCTCCAGTGAAAGGTGTATCCCCCCCAACCTCACCAGGCCCTGGGTATATAAGCCTTAGAACTCAGCATGGGGTTGTACTCAAAGGGAGCTTACAACCAATCACCAAGTCCTATCAGCTCTCTGCCAGGCAGTCCTTTCACATGCTTTCAATCATTCTCAAATAATCCTGACACAACTCTGTCAAGAGTGGCATTATTATCATCACTTTTGCAGATGGAAAAACTAAGTTAACTAAGAGATTGTGTCACAGATGCTAAGGAGAGGCCCGGTGTGGAGTAAAAGGCTTATAATAAACCCAGGGCTCTTGCAAAACACTTGCCATCCCTCAGTCCCACCACCTCTCTTGGAAGATAGGACTGCTTAGTCCACAGGGAGTAAGTGACTTCCCAGCACCACAGAGCTCCTTCAGTACCACAGCTGATATTAATGGCTTTGTGGAGGAGAAAAGCATAGCCTTTTATTCACTGAAGTGTTGCCTGTATACCTACATGCTAGTGTTTTTCTTTTTTCTTATGCCAGCACTGAGGCTTGAACCAGGGCCTGGGCATTTTCACTCAACACTGACTCTTCACCACTTGAACAGCACCTCCACTTCCAGCTTTTTGGTAGTTAACTGGAGATAAGAATCTCATGGATTTTTCTTACCCGAGCTTTGAACTGTGATCTTAGCTTTCAGGCTCCTGAGTAGCTAGGCACAGGGCTCCAGTGTCTTAATACTCTGTTCTCGAAGAAAAGGCTACTTAACATTACACAGCTAGAAATGTCTCTCTCCAAGTAAATTCAGTGTATGAAATCTATATATATATTAACTACCAATTAGGAATTCATTATTCCCTTCACATACTGACATAAAGATTCACCATAAACTGTTCTGAAATGCCAAGTTCCCTCTACAGTTGTTTGTTACAGCTCAATTTATACATAGTGTTTCAGGATAAAGCAAAACACACATATAATACAAAAAAGTTTAAGAACTATCTTTAGGGTAGAAATCTTGTCCTCTATCAGTTAGCCTAGAATGTGCTGGGTTTCTCTTTGCTGTCCAGCTACCTCTCCCTCTCTTCCAAGGTCCCAAACAGAAAACAGGGTTAGGATGTAATAGGAGCCCTTTCTGGGATGGCCAAACCCAGGGACAGCGTTCCAGAGGACCCCTGTCGTGAGACCTTAAAGAATGAGATGGTCCCCTTAAGGTCCCTGGGCAGTCTTCCCGGAAGACAGTTCTGATGGGCGCCGTCTGCTCCCATGACCCAGGCTGTAACTCAGAGTCGGAATGAAGATGGACGTGAAGGGCGGGCCTCCTCCTTCTTCCCGCTCGGTGACCCGAGGAGGTCTCAGGTCCCCAGCAGCCAGCCGAGGTTCCTCCCTCCACCCGGTACCGCTGCATACTCACGGAGGGCTGTGGCGGGCAGCTTCGGCCTCCATCCCCTCCATCCCTCTGAGAGGTGAGGCCGTCCTCTACCCTCTCCCTCCCAGGCCTGCAGCAGACTTCGGGGAGGGACTTCCAGCCCGGGATCCGGGCGGGTGGGAGTGAGGCCCGCAGGCCTCGCCCCTTGTGGCCTGCCCGACTCGGGGTCGGGGTCTGGGGAGAGCGAGGTGCGCGGCTCGGTGCGAGAGCGCACAGCGTTGCCCAGAAGGGGAGAGCGCTGCCCGGGCGCCCTCCCGGGCCATCGCAGAGGAGTGGCGGAGCGAGAGGAGGGGCAGCGGAAGGGGCTGGAGGAACCGGGACCTCAGCCTCCCCACCCCCAGCCTCCGGGAGCCGTTTCTCCCCGACCGCCCCGGGGAACAACCTAGGCACCGGCCCAGAGTTTGCGCCCAGCCCGCTCAGCCCTCCCTGCGGCCCGGGGATGGAGCTCAGCTGACCTTCTGAGTTAGGCAGAAGTTAAGACCGCCCTTTGTTTACACTGCCTTCCCCGAGGAGTCTAGACACTTCTTGGTGGGGCTGTCCCCCGGGTCTCCTCCGAGCCGAAGTCCTTGGCTTCTGTGTTGTGGTGGGGCCTAGGGTCACCCTGAGTGGACAAGGGTCCCCTCATCCTGCCTGCCTGTCACCTCGGTAGCGACGAACTGTGTTTCAGGACCCCGGGGACTCCTGCCCACACTTTGTCACTTGCTCTAGAGCTGGGAGCTTAAGCTATCGGCTCCCCCCCCCCCCCCCACCACCTCCACCACACTGTGGTTCAAACCAACAGCGCTGTCTTTACCCACCGGACATGTGGCCAAGTCTATTTCCAAACCTATCTTCTCCCCCAAAGACAAGAGACAAGAGAGGAGCCAGAACATTCCAGGCATCTCTGCTTGTTCTTTTTTCCTTCTGCAAGTGAGCTACTATAAAGCAAAGGGTTCTTGTGCTTGGTTGCACCAAGATCATTCTCCAGATGGCCAGGTTAGCTACTGAAAGGGCTCTGTCTGTGTGGTGCATGGCGAGAAAGAAGCTTCCAGAAGGGCTTGGCTTCCCTTGAGTAAGCAGGCTTGCCCTGCAGAAGGTGTGGAGGGGGGGGGTGCATCTTGGCAGATAACCATACCCAGGTCTGAGAACTTGAAAACTGCCAGTAGCTTGACCTGAGATTATCCAGGCAAGCCTGGTGTTAGGGAACAGATCCAAAGTCACACAGCTCTGGGGACGGGTGGTCTATAGAGTCTGGGTACTTTCCTTTATGTGCCCAAAGCAAGTAGGTCCAAAAGCAGTACTGTTAATCAATACTGCCATATCACGATGTAGGAACAGTACCATCCATGGCAGGAGGGCAAGCACCAGGTGTTGGGCTGTGTACTCTGTGGTCTCGTTCCTACAGATCAGGAAGCTGAATTTAGGTTAGCATCCCATAACAAAGCCCCTGGCCTTCTGGAAAGCACCCCGGCATCTGCATATTCTACAAGAAAGATCTAGGTAAGTTTTATCATTGTTTGTTTTAAATAGAATACTTTGTGGAAAAAACATGAAGTACTGTGATACTCAAAATATCAGTCTAGCCCTTCCTTTCTGGATCCTGCCAGCTTCTCCTCTTCTACAAAATTCTGAAAACCAAGAAAGGATCCTTCCTGTCCCCCAGGGGCAAACATTAGTCCTATGGACAATGCTGCTGCTGCTGCGCAGCTGGTGGACTTCCCATGAGCCAAGGCACCTCATATCAGATCTTAAATCTTTACAACCCTGACATATAGGAACCATGTTGCTTCACTTTAGGGTAAGGAAATCTGGATTACAGAGAGGTTAAATGACTGGCCTAAGGCCACATTGCTAGCACAGCTAGACTCTGAATCAAATTCTGCCTGGCTCCAACGTTCTGCCTTACTTTTCAGAAATGTCTCTGAACTCAGATTTCTCCGCAACTCCGGGAGTCCTCTCTTCCCCAGAAGTTAATGATCTGTAAGGCAGGTTTCTGAAAATTCCAGCAAAGGTTTAATGTTTAAACCTCCAAAGGTCCCTCCCCACATCTTATGAGATGCAAATAATCACCTTCAGCTTACTCATTAAATCTGTTACTTTGTGAGATGGGAGATGAGGTGCCCTATTTTCTTGGAGGCTTTTAAAGCTACTGGTTTGGGGCTGGGAAGGTGGCTCAGTGGTAGAGCGCTTGCCTTGCATGCCTGAGGCCCTGGGTTTGATTCCTCAGCACCACATAAGCAAAAAGAAAAAAGCCAGAAGTGGTGCTGTGGCTCAAGTGGTAGAGCGCTAGCCTTGAGCTGAAGAGCTGAGGAACAGCGCCCAGGCCCAGAGTTCAGGCCCTACAACTGGACCCCCCCCCCAAAAAAAAACTACTGGTTTGACACACCAACATGTAAATCTTTAAGAAGGATCTTAGCATAAATTATAACTATTTTGACACCTACACCTCAGAGGGACTGACTGCTATTTTGTTCCACAGATATTTGATGTCAGGGATGGGAAATGTGTCTATATGTGTTTGAACTCAGAGCCTTGCGTTCTTGCTTGGCCTTTTAAGCTCAAATCTGGTGCTCTATCACTTGAGCAATACCTCCACTTCCTTGGGGAATAAAATTTAATATGTAGGCCCTGCCCTTAACGATTCTGACCAAAGTTGAATACAGCTTAGCAGACACATAAACCTGGTATGTTTCCTATTGACCTGGTAGCCTACGGAGGTGTACCTTGGTCATAGGAAGAGCTGAGTTGAGGAGTGTGTTGGATAAGAAGATTCAGAGGGGGATGGAAGGCATTTCAGGCTGAGATTAGCATCTACACTGCAAGGAGCCTCATCTACACAGCATGGAGAAGCTGCCTTGTGCAACTGAAACCCATAAAGTTCAGGTGAGGGCAGAGGCGGCAGCAGGGATGCTGTGGGTCTGGTGGAGAGCCTCAGGGGCCTGTTGGAGGGCTTGGACTCCATCTTTGAGGAGAAAGCCCTGGTGGGTGGCCTTTCCTACAGCCTGGTACATTTCTGGGCTAGAATATTTTATCTAGTTCATTACTATGTTTTAGGCAAAAATCTAGGAGGGAAGCAAATATGTGGTAGTGATTGTGTAGTCTCCTCCTCCATTTGAACAAACCAAGGAACCCCATCATTCCCAGAAGCTTCTTTTGAGTTTCCCTAGATGAAGCACAACCCCTCTCTCCCAGCTTCTCTACTGGGCCCTGAATCCCGAGTAGGATATGAAATTGGCTTTCACATAGGATGAACTTGAGAGTTCACATGAGATGAGACAAGAAGGGGGGGAGAGACACCTTTATCAGGTCAGCACAGACCACTAGCACTCATCCAACCCAAACCCCACCTTTCCCTGTAGCTTCTGTCTTGATCATAGGCTCATGGTGAAGCAAGGAGGCAGCTGACCCAACAGTAGCTCCGGAAGTGATTCACAACCCCAGGGCCTTCCCTCTGCCCTTTGTTTTCCTTGTGGCTGAACAGTAAGAGATGTTGGGTCCCATCACTGCCAGGGCTTTGTCCCTGGGCTTGCCCTACCCCCCTCCCTGGGACTGAATGCCAGGCCTGGAGGGATCCTTGAGATGCTGGCAACAGGCCAATTTCAAGGTCCTCCCATGTGGAGACTCTTATGCCTTAAGATGCGGGAGGGTCCAGGAATCTGTTTCCTAACAAGCTTGCCAGGTGGTTTGAGGCAGGCAGTTTGGGAACCACAGGTTCCCCAGTTCAGAAACTCCTTCCTGAGATGCCTGGACCTTATTGACTCATCTCTTATGACCACTGACAGCTGCACTGCATGCATTGTATCATACCTACTTGTTTCTGGCTCCTTGACTGGTGATTCTGGTTTATTATCACCATGGTCCAGGACATGAGAAACCCTCCTTCTCTCCATACACATGAGCATCCTCTATCTACTGCATCATAATCTATTCATATGGTGAAACATTCACTGCTAATGTGATGGGGTTAGGAATGGGGTCATAGGATATAACTGGGTCATGAGAAGGGCCCCCCTCCATGATGGTGGTAGTGGCTTTGTCAGAAGAGACACCACAGGGTTCGCTCTCTCTTCCAGAAGCCCCATCCTAGCTGTGAAGGCAGAGCAGGAAGGTTGCTGCCTTCAAGCCAGGAAGAACTCTGACTACCCTGACTGCCTGGAACACAGTTCAGCCTTCTGAACTGTGAAAAAGGAATGTGTGCTGGTAAACCCCTCTCAGCCTGTGGTATTTTTTTGTAATGGCCATTTGAGCTGAGAAAAACATTTCCCTGTCCCAACAAGGCCTGTCCTCCCAGAGCTTCAGTACGCAGTTCTCATGCGTCCTTCTCAGGGATGTCAGCCATCATCCCAGCCAGCCTTCATAGAACACTTGTCGCACACAGTTGTCCATGCCAGATGCTACTGTCCCCTATATACCAGAGGGTTCTTGAAAGCAGCACTACACCTGAGCCTCACTGTGTCTCTGGCTGCTAACTTGTGCTAGGTGCACAAAAGGTTTTGAGCAAATGTCAGATGGATAAATGAAAGAAAAAGTCCCCACTGGGAAGGATGGGACTTTACAAAACTACTAACTCCAAAGGTTTTGGTTTAGCTACTCAGGCCATGTGAGAAAGGCAGTCTATGGCAGAGCTGGGGCTAGTACTAGGTATCCCGACTAACCCCAACATATAACCAGATGCACACCAAGATTTCCCACTCCTGCTCCTCTTCCTTTCCCCCAAAATATTACTGATCATGGATGGTGATAAGAGCCACAAGTTAGCAACTACTAGCTCTGATCCTGGAAATTCAGAGGTAAAACAGGTGTCAGATACAAGAAAGGGAGCAGGGCAGGGTGGGGGAGCAAAGAGAACACAGAGAGAGGTGCAGTCAGCAACTTGACAAATGGGCACCTTCACTCAACAGCTACTGTTTAACTGTTACACCATACTATATCTTATACCTTACAACATACCCAGTGTCCACAGGGCTATCCCATCCCACAGGGGCTGAATTCTGCAAAAACCCAAGGAGAACAGAAGTGTAGTTCTTACCTGCTCAGGGCTGGCTTGCTATGCTCGCCAGGCTGCCAGGCAGGGATCCCACTGGAGCAGCACAGGACCTACCCTGGGGATTTTAGCTCCATGCCTTTCATGCTGCTCAACCTGATGGACAAGGTCTGCCAGGCATCTGTTCCTATAGGGGACTTTTCATGTCATAATCCTAATCACAGGGAAATGCCTAGGATTAGAAAAACATTTTAATACTCTCCCTCTTATCCTACCAGCTGCTCAGTGTGAGGCTGCTGGCAATATGAGGAGAGGGTGTCTGAC